ATCCGATATATCCCGACAGTAACGCGATGAACGGCATCTGCGAACATGGTGTGTGTATCGAATGAAATGATGCACGTTTGTTGCTTGATGTATCTGATCTATGTGGTGGCTTAATTGCCCGGTTGCATGTGCACCTCTGAGCTTCCGTATTAGGTATATCCTTTGTTAAAATAGCCAACCCGGGATCCGACGGCGGTAAGAATGGTTAGAGGATCAGTGGCACTGCGTCCCGGTGATTGTCACCGTTCAACTGAGCAACCAAAGTTTTAACTTCGAATCTGAATGTCTTGAGGTCGAATGTTTCTGGAACATTGTAGAATTCTCAAGAGAGACAAAACTGTCAGATGATGGTTCCGGACATTTCCGTACATGCAGGCCTCGTGGATAAAATGCAGAACTGAGGAGCGCAAGCTTCAGTCGTGCAAGTCGCACATGGATATTGGAGTCCGAAGAATGAACTCAGATTGTGTTGGGTGTTCAGGGAGATAGCAATCTCGGGGGCTTATGACATTATTCGGTAAGTCCGGTACAAGTCACGTTAAATTGTACAGAGCAAATGACCACAAAATGATAAAGCAAGTAGTAAGTTTAACGCGGTGGAGGGACCGCAAGTATAACCATCTGCGGGAATTTCTCGACGGGAGAGGTATTCCACAGAACAACACCTGATCATAAAGATAATCATGAGTAATGTTGACGCACCTTTTTGCGTTCACCAGTCTGATAAGCCACGTAGCGCGCATGCTCCACGGTTTCACATACCAAAGCATTACCACACGCGAAGGTTAGTGCCTTCTTCACAATGATTGGGTCACACTGGATAACATCGATGACCAAGTGTACATTTGGTGGATCGCTGATTTCTCTGAAAAAAGATATAGGAAACTGTTTATGAACTGAAAAGTCCTCAAGCGGGGAGCATTGTCCCGGATGAAATTCTACTGTTTCAAATATCTCCAGATAAAAATTCACCTTCAATAGCAAGGGGAACCTTAATTGAAACCTTTGAACCTTTTCAACGCCAACAAAACAAAATTTGCCTAATTTGCTTCAAAGTGCTGATAGCAAATGTATACCTGAGGCAGGATGATAAGTGGAAGAACTTACCGCAGGCGTTCATCAATTGGCTTCACATCGAGAAAATCAAGAGGAAGGAACGTCTCCGGCTCTATTCTTTGATCTTTCATGTACTGAATGCATTCTTTAGCGGTTTTCTCGCTATCGCACACAATTGCGTCCATATATTTCCCAAGCACTTTTGTTATGGCAACTTGATAGCGTCGATGTGATGGTTGGCACATTTCCAGCAAGCGCCCATGCTGCAATGACGTAATTTGTCGAGCAGACAGATAGATGAAGCACAAGAGGAAAACAGCCTTAAAACAACCGACTGCAACCGAAATTTTCCGAAAAAACATCAAATTAGTTTCTTTGGTCACCATCAGATTAATCGGGGAAAATCAGTTGCTCCACCTACTGTCATGGGATGCTAAGTAAACAGAGCGCACAACTGGTGAGGCAATGAAGAAAATAATGAAGCAAACCATGAGAACAGGAGCTTACCACACCAGGGAACAATCTTTTGAGGTTTTCAATTAACTCTTGTTTTTTTGCTGCTCGCGAGGATTCGTGTCGCTCGACTTTGGCTTCGCCTAACTGGCAAACAACAGCTTCTAACTCCGTATTGATTTCGTCTATACGCCTGGTTGCCTGTTCCACTTCTTCCCGAATAGCCTTTTCAGTCTCACGTTGCTCAGTGATTGCACGATTGCTTGATCTGGTTGCATGGAATGGGAGAGATAGAGTGTTTCGCACCGTACCGCATACATTAAACCAGGACCCCCAGGTAAAAAGTATTGATTTTATAAGTGACATTAAGACAGATCTGCAACGTTGCGGACAGAAGGCGATTGGAAAATGATTTGAGTTATACACAGATTGTTTAGTTCATCTCGTGCAGGTGGTATTGAATAGGTTCACGCAGAGTACCATATTAATGCTCCCTAGAAAACATCGAAAAGAACCTGACTGTTCCTCCATGAAGATGTCTGTGTCAGGAGAGATGTTCCAATGCGTAATCAAACGAATACGGGCAGTGCACCAGAAAATGAACTGCCGAATATTTTACCTGCTTCCATTTTTTTGCTTAAACTGGCATCCTCCGAAGCATTCTGATGCAGTTCTTCCAAAACTTTCAACTGAAACCAACCAAGAATAAGGTGGCGGATGAACAAAGCACGTGGTTGTACAGCCATTGTCTTCTGGCCGTTAGGAAATTTATAGTATACTGATCGGTGCGCTCACCAGTATGACTGCAACTCATCCTTCGGTGCATCCTGACTAGTAAGATCGGTAACTCGTATTATTTTAGCTTACTTCCTTCGGCCTGTTATCCACATCCCGCGGGTTCCTGCTCGCCACCTGTTTTACTTTTTATTTGAGGAGTTAGCAAAATAATTTACTTTCTGTACTTTATACACACTCCCTCTCACCAAATCATTCAGCTCTTATAAACATGTGATCACCACTTCAATAGTGCCTGAGTAGCTAAGTAGCTGCGCTATGATGCAATGGAGTTGGTACGAATAAGCAATCCTAGCTATATAGGTATAGGGATACGAATGACCTCCGAGTGACCTCCAAAAAAGACCCTATATTATGGAGGATCTATTGAATGAGCTGAATTATTTTGTGGTAAGGCAAAACATCTAGTCACCCTGATGAACGAAGCTGAAACGAACAACTGCGCCATTAGTTGAATCAGAATGACAGACTGAGGTCCTTCTAGTCACAAAACGGAAATGATGTTCATTGGTACTACATTATGAGTATCCTACAGAAGATGTTCCAAATTTCAGAGAAACGGTCTATCGGAAGAATGGCCGTCATTCCAGCGCGCCAGAAGCAAGCAATTTTCTGGTGAGGATACATAGAAACTTAAAGCAATCGCTGGCAAGTCAGTTGCTTGCATAAAAAATATGGCTAACGTGCGCAATCAGTAAACCACTACTGCAAACAAGTGACTGGTGGGGCGAGATGGGTCAAGTGGTTAGAGCGCGAATCTACTGACCGAAGGGTCCGTCGTTCGAACTCGAGCTTTGCCTTTCGACTTCCCCGGTCTAGGCTTGGGCAACCTCCCAGTATCCCAGCCCTCGTGCTTACTTCTGGTGGCATGGCAGATAGGCACCGAAAGGGTGCTACGGTTGAGGGACTGGTGGGGCCACCACAATGAACTTCAAGTATAAGGGTTCTCACGTGTCCGGCGTCACACACAATCTGACCATTACGGTTGGGCATGAAAACGCGTTTCATCGGGAAACAAGAACAGAAGCGATCTGTTTTGTGGAACGATCACAGAGTACACATGTAGGTTGATTGGGTTCAGCAAGCAAGCAAAGATTCCCCAATATATCCAGTCCTCACCGCGAGGTTATATACAGCCCATTTTGGATGGATGCAGATTCACAGTATCACACGAAAGCCAATCCAGACCGAAAATTTGTAGTCCACTAGGTACTGCGGCGACTAACCTCGGAAAACAACAAATGAATCATGAAACAAGGTCTCCGTTCGAGAGCAAACGTCGACAGCTAACACTAATGCATAGAGCCAGAGCGATATAAACGAAGGGGGGAGAGAGACTTGAAAAATCTATCTGAAATGCCCATCCAGTCGTTGCCGATGATAATGGTGCAACTTACTCAATGTACTCCATCAGCTTCTGTAAACGTTTCTTATTTTCATTGAGCTCGGTTTCTTTGCGTTTAAGAGAGCTTTCGATCTCATTTTTACGCCGATCAAGGGCATCATACAGATCCTTCTGCTCGTTGTATTCACGATTCAACCCATCCAAAACCGCGGAGAGATGAGAAGTTCGCTCAGCGACCTTCTGTTTCAAACGATGATATTCATTTAGCTATAAAGGGGCCGCAGAAACCGCAGAAAGAAAGATGCAATTAAACGAACCAGTCAGTTCATCGCGGAAAGATAACATCTCAGCGCCATTGGAGTGAATAAAAGAAGTAGGCATAAGAGTGAATGACTTGCAACTGAAGCGGCGGGCCACTTATGTGTTATATGGCTAACGTGCGCAATCAGTAAACCACTACTGCAAACAAGTGACTGGTGGGGCGAGATGGGTCAAGTGGTTAGAGCGCGAATCTACTGACCGAAGGGTCCGTCGTTCGAACTCGAGCTTTGCCTTTCGACTTCCCCGGTCTAGGCTTGGGCAACCTCCCAGTATCCCAGCCCTCGTGCTTACTTCTGGTGGCATGGCAGATAGGCACCGAAAGGGTGCTACGGTTGAGGGACTGGTGGGGCCACCACAATGAACTTCAAGTATAAGGGTTCTCACGTGTCCGGCGTCACACACAATCTGACCATTACGGTTGGGCATGAAAACGCGTTTCATCGGGAAACAAGAACAGAAGCGATCTGTTTTGTGGAACGATCACAGAGTACACATGTAGGTTGATTGGGTTCAGCAAGCAAGCAAAGATTCCCCAATATATCCAGTCCTCACCGCGAGGTTATATACAGCCCATTTTGGATGGATGCAGATTCACAGTATCACACGAAAGCCAATCCAGACCGAAAATTTGTAGTCCACTAGGTACTGCGGCGACTAACCTCGGAAAACAACAAATGAATCATGAAACAAGGTCTCCGTTCGAGAGCAAACGTCGACAGCTAACACTAATGCATAGAGCCAGAGCGATATAAACGAAGGGGGGAGAGAGACTTGAAAAATCTATCTGAAATGCCCATCCAGTCGTTGCCGATGATAATGGTGCAACTTACTCAATGTACTCCATCAGCTTCTGTAAACGTTTCTTATTTTCATTGAGCTCGGTTTCTTTGCGTTTAAGAGAGCTTTCGATCTCATTTTTACGCCGATCAAGGGCATCATACAGATCCTTCTGCTCGTTGTATTCACGATTCAACCCATCCAAAACCGCGGAGAGATGAGAAGTTCGCTCAGCGACCTTCTGTTTCAAACGATGATATTCATTTAGCTATAAAGGGGCCGCAGAAACCGCAGAAAGAAAGATGCAATTAAACGAACCAGTCAGTTCATCGCGGAAAGATAACATCTCAGCGCCATTGGAGTGAATAAAAGAAGTAGGCATAAGAGTGAATGACTTGCAACTGAAGCGGCGGGCCACTTATGTGTTAGCTACCCTCATCTTTTTCTAGAAATTTCTAGTGCACATGTTTTACGGCCGATAGTATGACTTGTAGCTTCATTGTAAGCCAGCACCGACACAACAGTAAGGCCGACGACCACCGTCGCAGTCGTTTACACTAACCTGGATTGTCTCTCCTACTAGTCTTCTACAACATACCGCCAAAAACCATGCAGAAAAGTTGCTTCAAGATTAATACAAATGTAAATACAAATGCAAATGTACGTTCTGATCAAATTCGTCCGATTGACAAATGGCTGAAACCGTGCCCAGCAAGGCGGATATTGGGGTTCGTCGAGCTACTTTTCGGGGTGAATCGTACTGGATGAATCTAAAATGGCACATGCGTTAGGAGCTATTCTGTGTTCAGTGTGTCAAACAACCTATTCCGACAAACCTTGTCTACAGGAAACAGCATAAAACTGCAATCATGTACAAATCGGTTAAAGTACTTGGTACCTGTGCAATGGTTTGCGAACATGGACAATTCACAACGCGAACTGAAGGGATGAAAAGATTGTCAGCAAGCAACAGCTAAACTGTTTTGGTTGGTTGACCACTATCATACACTATATACTTCTGATCGACTGCTCAGGAGATTTACATCAACCTATGTTCTCACGGCAGACATTCGTCTGAGTCACGTGCACTTTCATTACTGTAACACATCCTAAGTACGACCATGATCAAGCGTTTATTCTGAACAACAGAAAGTGGACAGTCAGATTCTGATCAACGTCCGAATCGGTGGCTGAGTCAAGCCATATGAGGGGGTGCAGTCACGATATACAAGAAGTTTAATCCTTTACGTGGTTTCAAGGTTGGATACTCTGAATCCAAAAAAAATCAGTGTGTGATGTGGCAGATAAATGTAGCTGTCAGCATTGTTAGTGACAGCACTACTGTTAAACAAGCCTGTCAACGACATCCAGCTAAGCCGACTTATATTCAAGAACATTTGTAGAAAAATCAAAACAACTGAGGATTCACGGTTATGCATGTTGTGCGCACCAATTGAACACCAGGAGTTAGCTTAGAGATTCTTCACCTGGATTCCAAAATGGTAGCGAGAATTCAGGACTCTTTGTTGTACTGTAAGGACAAGTTTTTGCATCATCCCGGCTAAGATCTTTTAGCAGACTTAAGGACTTCCCGCCAACCGTACTCTTGTCTACTCCAACTCAAACTGCTTTCTCTAAAATACAGGCTGAACGTGCGGATTGTATTTGATGGCTCGATCTGCCAAAAGACCGAACCCAGCCGACATATTCAAGCGCAAGCTTCAACAAGACTCATTTAAGAGCCTAATTGACAAGGTGCTTATTGAGGGCAATTCTGTAGATGTTCTGATCTCTGAATAATGTAGACAGGTTTTCGTCTTTCAGTTCATCCAGGATCACCTGGGAATCCAGTTTACCTCAGATTAGAAAGAAATTGGTATTACGGCCCTTATATGGACGCAACGCCATACGTCCGTCGTACACAACGATGTACATAGAAGAAGCCTACTCCTAAACAGGAGCGCAACCATATCTATTGCGGCGACAATCCGCCCGATTACTGTTCTGTGACATAGGTTGACTTTTGCTTCAAAAGATTTACTCCAACGAAGACTGAAAGCCAAAAACCTCGAAAGCCAATCAGCAAACTCATTGCACACTAAATAAGTAATGGCAAAGCAATAATTCAAGTGTAGCAATCTCTTGTGTGTAGACGAGATGCTGCCAAGCCTAGATAGGAGTAGTCGACAAACCGGGGTTGAGTTCAAACGACGTACACCCGTCACCAGCCGTGACCACGGAGACTACATGATAACCGAAGCGGAACCCATTCCACAGTCACATTCTGGCTCTGGTTCTCAACTGAACACCTAATATATCCCAACTTCAAAATCAGATTGCAAAAACACACTTGTCTGTCCACTTTCCCTGTGCGGTGCGGCGAAATACGTTCGAAATACGACTACACAAGCACGCGTGCTAGTTTGACAAACAAACCAGGAAGGCAAGCACTAGGTTCGTAGGACAGTATGTAGTTAATTAAGCCGTGAACCCCAGTATTCTAGAAGACAAAAACCGTCCTACCCCTACCAATACTACATTGGGATGATTGCCATCAGGCTGCCTAGAGCTCCGGGTAAAAGTGCCTGGTGCACTTGTTACACCTAACTTAGCCTCTTAAAACAAGTGTGCCCGTCAACATGTCAATGTCTACAAACACATTCACATCATTGACACGAACACAAAGACCTCCCGGTCATTCGGTCGGTCACCTGAACTTAGATATCTGGTGAACAATGACCAATAAGGCTAAGTCGCGCTATTGTTTTTTGCACTCAGTTTGCTTATTTAATTCTAGTTGCAACATCTAGGCCTGAGGAAACCGAAGTATTCGATAGTCAGCTGTTATATTTTTCTTCCCAATGTTATTCTATCGTGAAGCCGGGTTGAAGAGCACAAGAAATCTTCACCTTATTCCCAGTAAATATCGTAATGAGCCAGTTTTTGGATCCAGTAACCAAAAGATCGAAGCCGAAGATGGGGAGTGAGTAAAATGTCACACGTTCGAATGCACCTGATCTTTGTGAAGTGGTGAGCCTAAGTCAAAGTAGGTCGCGGTCAAAGATATTTTGAAGTGTCAAATGAGGGACTTCAAAGTAGCAGATAAAAAGTGAGGACCTGATACCAAGAACTTAGAACCAACGGTTTAGCCGAGGTTTGGTTAACGTCTGACAATAAAATGAGTCAAAACTGTCCCTCATGAAAGACAAACCTGTGTCTCTTCTAGTTCAAGGTTAATACCCTGTTCCAAGGACTTTTTTGTTTGCTGTTGTTCATATTCTCTCTTCAGGGAAGAAATCTTTTCAGATTCGGCTTCAAGCTGAGCAATTTCCTGGAGATGACTGCTGTGCAACTGCTTGGCATTCTCCAGAGATTTTCTGTGGAAAAATGCATTAATGAAAACGAATATACTTGGATTCCTTGTGTTTTTCTGTCACATGTCGCAGAAGCTGTGACACTTTGATGAACTCCGGTCTTCGCTTGCCAATCTTTTGTTCCTGTATACCTCTGTTATCTAAATTTCACCTCGAACTTACACATTTTTTAATCTCTTGCTCCACTGATGACTGGTCGCGATTAACTTTTCCCAATTCACGACGTTTCTCTTTCATTTCTTCTTCAATAGACTGTCGTTGTTCGTGTTCAGAGGCCAATAGCTCTTCACGTTGCTTCAGCTCCTCACGAACCCGCCTGATTTCCAAATCGTTATAGTAAAGCTTGAACAGATGGAGTTCCGTGCGCTTCAGCGCCTAAAATGCAATTACAGGCCATCTAACTCAAGCACATAACATCAAGGAGATGATAATATTGCGAAAGCATAAGAGTAAATGAGAAACAGTAATCATTAGGAAGCTGACCTTGGGTTAAGCTCGTACAACACCTCCAAAAAATGACAGGCCGCAGGCATGCTTCAATGCCAGCGAACCGTAACCAGACTTTCCGAAGTGATCATCTCTGAGTCTTTGATGATGAATGAGTTAGCTTCTTAGATGTCGTGGTACGATAACTTTTCGTCAAAAGGTCATACGGGTAATGTCCTCAGTACAATTCTGACTTTCAAGATACGACATACATCTAGCCATTGAACAATCAGATATCTACAAGAAAAACAGCGAGCCAGTGGAGAAGATTCTCCCACGCTGTTTGACCCCGAAGTTGGCCATATCCACTGAAACCACTAGATGAGATCACCGCTGAATACCGACGAGTATCCACAGATAAAATTGGCTAGCAACCATATTTTATACAACACAGAGTGTACCTTACCAGAAGACCATGTAAAAAGTAAAAGCAGTAAAAGTGACAGCGCAAATTTAAACAGCCAGTGGGTAGTTACCATGGGTCCGTCCTTCAATGCACACCAAACTACCAAAGCTATTTCATGATAGGTGAACTTAACCATCAATACAACTGTGAAGAAAGTGGAACGGAATTAATTTTGAGCGCTTCTGTATAACATGTTCTATTTAGCCTTTACTAAATCAGAAAGCAAGTAAAATGCCCACAGGACAGTGGATCAGAAAGCCACAAGGGGTGCACGTTGAAGATCCCAAAAACATACATTACAAAAATATCTATCTTTTTTTAGAAGTGACTAGTGGCCTGACAAAACTTTATCTGACACAGGATTCTAACAACTACACACGCGAAGTAATATTATCACTATTTGATGAAATTTCCCGCTGCGCGACCGACGACCCGCTATCTAACTGTCTCTTTACAAACTATCCAGTACCTCCGAAGAACTACGCGGACCTGGTGGGACCATCAGATCAGTAATCCCGAAGTGTGCCAGATGGTCTTGACCACGTACCCCGTAGAACTGTTAGCCCAGTCTTGTGTGAAATGGAGACGACAAATGAGGGGTCATTCTGTGCTCTAGAAACGAAGCGTCAAAGACAATGGGAGTCAGTCGCATTGGCAAATACCGCCTCTCAGGATGGGAGCCAAGGGGGCGAAAAAAAAGAGTCAGTGACCCTGAAAGATATGGCTGTGTATCACACCAAACTGTGCCTTGCATCAAGCTATCGCTTTCACTGCACCACCCTCACTCCCTGCCATACCGGAAGAACGGAACCAGCCGACGTCAATGAGCTCATACAGCCATCGCTTCCAACGCATGATTTTCATTTCCTTAGTTTCCCTGTCCTCGGTAAACCAAGCTGTAACACCAGAAACTAGTGCAACCGGGTGCACGGTTGCTTATCTACAAAACTGAACTGAACTCGTCCCAGTGCCATGCTACAAATAGAACGCATTTCGATATCTCGAATATCGTACGTGCAGTAACATGAGGCGGAAAATAAGTTGGAGAATATCATAGATAAGAGAACAAATCAGGATTCCATCGACTTTCCGTAAACACTGAATTGATTTCCTTATATGTGTACGTTGCCAGATATCTTTTATCTAACCACAACGAAGGTGGCCGTTCTGGGATAGATTGCTATTCCCCCACACCTTGCTCCTCAAACCACTTCCATAAATTCACTCTTTTCCGATAGTGAATCGATCCCGTAGCAGTTCCTAAAGCACCATCAAGACTCTGGAATCCTTCAAGTCGATGTCCATCTTGTGGTGATTTCCACCTATTTAGGCCTCATGATGACACATATTTCACCCAGCGGCGCTATATAACCTGCTTCTAAATGGTTGTATTTTCCCTTCATTGGTCCCCGACAGTGGGCTCACTATCCGTATTTGGTTGCCAAAATAATTCGGAATTCACTGAAATAAACGCACCAGGTCTTGCTGCAGCTTCCTGTAGCGTTCAGCCTCATCGATTTCAAACTTGGCCTCTTTACGCTCCGCGACGATGCCTTTCTTTTTGTTCAGGTTTAGTGTAGTGTTTTCTTCCAGCATATGCATTTCTAATTTGGCGCTATCGTACTCTTCTTTGAGTTCAGCAGACCTACAGATAAACGGCTCACACTGAAAATAGACATACTTGCTGATCTCTTCGAACATCTGGCATCTTTCTCGTGCGTTTTTCATGGCAATACTTTCCACAGCGCCTTGAAATACTAGGAAATTCTTCACCTTCATGAAAATATGAATCTTCTCAAGAGCCGCGGCGTATTCATCGACTCTAACAGCCTAGGAAAGACATGTAAGCTACCTGATGACTTACTGCGCCATTAATTCTGTATTCTGAAGTGTTGCCATGAATCACTCGACTGAACCTTATCTCTTCACCATCAGGCATTTCGTAAACGGCTGTCACGGAAGCCGACTTGGAAACAGGTTTTCCCACCACCGACCCATGTATTAGATCCTGAAGAGCATTACCTAGATTCTTTCAATGCTACATACGTTCAATCGCCGAACGCGGAGATGACGGGTGTTTTCCCCCAAAACAAAACTGATGGCATCCATCAGGTTTGACTTGCCTGAAAGTTGGCTGAAAACCCATCACAAGCCTTACCTGACCCATTCGGTCCGATAATAGCCGTAAATGTTCGAAACGGACCAATGACTTGTCTCCCTTTATATGACTTGTAATTTTCCAGCTCGATGTACTTAAGACGGCCACAAGCCTCGGCCATCTTACAGGGACGGCTTTCAGCTGTGAACCCAACAGGTGTTCGAGCACTGATTGGTTCACGGATTCACGGATTGATACACAGGATCGAGGCTTTTGCCCAAGTCTCCCGGGTCGGTTTTGTTCTTGTCGGTCAGTGGCTGTCGTTCACCTGAAAGGCACAAGTGAAAAAAGGGTGTAGCATAGTCCAAGTGAGGGCATAAAGGGTCCCTATAGTTTATTCACGGATTCATAGATTGATACGCAGAATTGAGGCTTTCGACCGAGCTTCCTGTCTCAGGTTTGTTCTTGTCCCTCAGCGGACATACTGGAGCAGTGGCCTGCCAAGGATCCAAGTTAGACGGCCGGTATTTTCTGCTTGTAGCAACGCTGTTGGGGCGCGATTGTTGTTTAGGTACAGATAGCCCACAATACCACCTTCATTCGCTGATGGAATAGTCAAAGATTCCTCCTTGAAATCCCACTAGACTCCAAATAAGTTACTAATGAACGCCAAGATTCCCACCGAGCCACAACACCTATGGATGGTAATCACTCCAAAACCGTCAGACATTCCTGGGAACCACCTATCGGGCAGCGCCAGCCAAGTTTGCACGACAGGTTTGCAAAAGGGGCTGTTTCTGTCCACATTGTGAACGGGGCCAGCCCTCGTGATATATTGTGGGAATCCACTTGCCATCAAGCTTAATGTAATATCGCTTCGCAAGTTGCCAGTGGGCCGCACAGAATAACCGCATCACCCACACCCGTATAAATGGCGCAAAACGCCATCCACGCTAACCACACAACGCGCAAAACGTACTGCAACATTTGCGTTGTTAGGAGGACCACAAGGACAGCTAGGAACCGAGGCTTACTTGTTTTTCCCGTACAAGGAAGTACCGTTATAGTTGCTGTTGATTTTTCTCGAGGAAAGTATGCTTATGTCATTCCCAGGTTATTGAATGGCCTTGTGCCTCCTGGGGGGATAGAACAATCTAACTTGCGAAACGGTGGCTAGACTCAGATGCAAAGGAGAGACAAGCGCCCCATCACAGCAAGGCGACGAATGCTTAGGCCGATTTGGCCCCCACCATCGGTTTCAGTGGCTGTGCAGACACTGAATCCAGGACGAACGCATCAACTGCAACAGGCCTTCGGGACAAACTTACACCAACCCCCTCAAATGAAGTTCCGCCAACTAGCTTGAAAAATAAACCGAGTAACAGGTGGGCCGACGCTTGCAAATATTATCTACAGTGAGAGTGACAAATTGAAGCAGAACACAAAACTGATCTACGGTAGTGGATGCGCGTGAAAATAGGTGAATGATGTGTGGAAGCAAAAAGAAGTGTGCCGGTGACATGTGGTGCGTGCAGAAGGATCAGAGTGCAACATCCAAGAAGGTGAATAAACTATCTTGAAAACGCAAGGGGCTTAAGGCCCCACCAAAAGCGCATTCAGAAAAGGCGAGGATGGTGCTCCTCGAGGACAGAGGATCGTTATTATCTATGGGTTCTCGGGACCTAACATTATTCGTCCACTTAAGATGGCTGGGAATCCGGGCCACATTCCTAATAATAGAACGTTGAGACTTAGAAATTTTTCACTGCCGAAAACTTGTGAACCAGGGCCGGCCATACTGAAATTCACAAACCTATGATTTACCGAAATTTTTTTCTTCGCGGTTGTAGAAATAGATCTTCCACAGCCAACCATGTCCAGGTCTAGGTTGATGATGATATGTAGAGGCGACACCCACTGTGACGCAGACAGTGGAATGCAGACATTAAAGGTTCCCCAATTTTCCTTGAAAATCCATGCAAGGAAACTAGACGGGAACCCCAGCAGCTTGACTTGATTCACCGAGAGAGTGTAAAGCGGGTGACAGGGACAAACGTTCAGAATTATGTTAGTGTTTACCGAAGAGTTCTCACTTCAGTGATGTTGACCAGCATAACCATGTGACAAAAAGGATGGGTTTCTACAATGCGAACCACGTGAACTGTCACTGTTCGCCAGAAGCCTCAATGGTTAGAGGTTGCGTTTGATTGTGAATTGTCTAAGCAAGTACACGAAGTACGGATAAAAGTGGTTGTGTCTGAATCGAAATTCCCGAGTGGGCATAAATGGCGTTTGCAGAAATGTGCCTACATCAGAAAAGCTGCACCAGTAAATTATGTTGTCTGGAATATACTACTTATGGGGCTTATGGCAAAGACATTCAGTGAAACGGTCAGGTTATTATTGCGATTAAAAAATTCAGTATGCGCTTCAGTTCCTATTGAGTTGCCCATTTAAAATATATGGTTGCTGTGTGTTGAAGATTAGATCAGAATCAGATCTCTGGCCACAGGTTGCCAATTGTGAATCAACCTCACCGACAGATGAGGGTGTTGAGTTAATGATCAAGCTCAAACATTTCAACTAGGGCTAGATGTTTAAAGCCCAGAAAATAGGCAATAAGGTGGAAAGCCTCCCGATGGATAAATTGCTCATATAAAACATCTACATTATCCATCCCTCCACATGACGTATGCAAATCTGTTGAACGGAGACCGGTTGAGTGACAAGACCCCTTCGAATGTGTGATCACGGGGTATTCGGATAATATTGAGGATCTGTGCATTTTACAATCACTATACAAAGACGACCATGTTGCTGTTCAGTTAATTTGATCTGGAAATACTCGCGGGTATAACCAGAACAATGTGCACACACAAACGCAATGGGCCAACACGTAATAATACCGGACGCATTTGTGCTGAACCTGTGTAGCAGCGTGGATCACACCCTAGTTGATGTATCAGCCTGTGTGAAAACATCCGTACATTCGTATTTTTTATTTTTAGCGCTGTTATTCACGATCAGTGAATCAGCATATTCATGCCACATTCCAGTATCACTTCCATCACGATAATGAATTTCTAACCAGATTTTGCTTTCGCACTCATGTGATAATAAATGTGGACCATTTTTGCCCACGGCATATTTAACGTAAATATCAGGATCGCATTCCCGCGGGATTCACTAAGTGTAGGGTCTGAATTCGGTGTAATACTGTAGAGCATTTGACGAAGAGATCCCATGTCCCAAAATGCTACCAGATGATCTGTAGGCTACAACTGGCCAGCTTTTTCGTTTGCCTTTGAGAAGTCCAGGCACATGGGACAAACAAAGTGAAAATTTGCATGGGGTCTGTAAGGCCGGCAGCCTCAGCGAGCAAAAGTTAGGCGGAGGTGCATCTTTTTATCCGCATATGCGAAAGTTTTTCATTCACATCTGTTTCCCCCTTTTCTTTGTGGGATGTCAAGATGACTAGGTCACCTTCATCAACTGAGAAGAGAACTTGTTGGTCACGCGACACTAGGCAATCTATGATAAAGCGGTCATGCTCTGTCCTGAGTTTTATTAAACCTGGCCGCTTTATGCAGCCGACAATATTTAGTCCTTTCAAGAGTCATCTGAATAAAAACAGTTGGTTACATGACTTTCTTCCTTCGGAAGATAACGTCGCAGAAAACTGCGGAGTTCAAGTTCACCACCTAATAGAATACAAAATTTGGGTCAATGTGTGTCCAGTTTGAAGCTTTTAAAAGCGGAGTGTAATTTGACAATAATACTTAGCTCGCAAATGTGCGCATTAGTTATTGTGTGGTCCGATAAATCAACATACCTCCGGAAGTTGAAAGATACATGTTTTTTTCTGAATCGCGTGTCTGACTTTGTGAGAGGTCCAAAACGAATGCAAGAGACATCCTTACAGGCTCCTGTTTGTTAGTTATTCTCAGCAAAGGGGGGCCCAACCGACGTTGATTGAGTAGTTGTTAGTTAAGGCTCTGATGAATTTAAGTTGTGGATCTTGAAGGGTGTGTTTCCAAAGGAAGTAAAATTGCAGAGAATGTGATGGGTTAGCTCGGCGTAGGGCCGTTTTTCGTCAGACCAATTTGAATTCTGATTTGCAAGATTGTGTGGGCTGTGTGCACATTTTGTTCGTTTTCCGTTGTATTTTGTGGTTTGGAAGACTGCGCCATGTTCAGTGTTCAGATCAGTGGGATGCCTTGCGGAGATACAGTAGAAAAATTGTATAATATACCACGATGCCTCCAGGTTTGTCGAAATGCAAAAGGAGCTTGCTTAGAAACAAGTGCCCGCATGACACTTGTGCCTATTAAATTAACGCTTGTGTGCGTGGGCACAAGTAGCATAAAAAAGAGGAGGCAGAGAATGAATATATTGTCACTAATCCGTCCGATAACTTCAGCGGGTTTTACGCATAAGCGCTGATTATTGAGCAGGTCTCGATCGTTTCCGTCTGCGTCTCAATTCTCCTAACTTCGAAAAAACAAGTTCTGATCACACAGATTATATCAGGTTCTGGCGGGCTCTTAAATATGTCCCCAAATGACCTTACCTTTTCTAGGTTATCTTGAAATTTACTAGTGAAAGGGGGGACATTTCCTCCGTATGGTGTTTCCGAGACACAGACGCTGGGTAGCACCGGGAAGCAGATTAATTCAACAGCGTTAACTTCCTGGGTTATTTTTATTTCAGAATCTTAACCATTCTGCGTTCTAAGCCTACTCAGATGGAGTTAAAGGGTTGCCTCAACGCCGTCCTCTACAAGGTAAACTGAGCAGCGCCGATAGGTGTTGCGGTTTTGACACCAATTTGGTCCCTGCTTCGCCATCAGCTGCTGAATTGCGTTGTTAAATGCACACTGAGCGAGGCCTTTTCCGGTGGCGGCAAAATGTTTGCCAAAACATAGATTCATCAACGGCCCCAATGGCGTTGGGATACCTTCGTTCTAATGGCTGAAGCATATCCTGAGGTGCTTATTTTCGCATTATCTGTTTCCGAGAACCTTAATAAACCTTTCAGGTGGTCACGAAGACGAACTTATCACTTACGCTCATGTGTGTTTTTCTGCAGAATAAGATAGTCTTGATCAGTGAAGCCACGCATTTAACTGTAAGTTCTTTGCAGGAAAAGTAAGTACTTTCAAAGTTTCATCAGGAAATTTCTCCTAAAATTCGATGTGCCCCAAATGGTTATGCTGCTTACGTCAACCCACGCGTCCATACATTTGTGACATGTTTCTGACCAGCCAGTGAAATTCGAACCGTCGGTGCAACTGCTCGTTATGAGAACACACAAAACTTTCGGGAAAGAAAGCACTCAAAACGGGATAAGCGGTAGACAAAATTACTTATTTCACGGTCCCAATACCACTCGCTCGTGGGTTCACCGTTCCCGGCCCTCAAGGAGAACGCGGATGGCTTGTTTCTGCGATGAGGTTTCATGTAGTGAAATAGCACATTTATGTTTTTCCGTAAGAGATATAAAATTGTGGCATGTTTCTGTGCGTTCCACTGACGGATTTCTGGTTCAGAGTGGTCCCGCAATTTGGGGCATGTCAGCTCATCTTGTGTGCCTCCCGGAGCAAACCTTTAAAAAAAGTTGAGATCTCTCTAAAAGTAGACGCCGAATCCTCTTAGGCGGCCTGCGGCTCGTCCGACTGCAAGTGCTTTTTCGGGACGAACATCTCGTTAGCCTCGTGAACTTTCATAATAATGGTCCTCCAGAAGTTTTTCACTCAAGCTGCTTCCAGTTAAACTTGTTCAAGAAAGATGTGCATTCCTGAAAATTCCGCAAGGAAGAGTTTTGAATCCATGCTTGACCTTCGAGATTTCGGGCACAGAAGCTGGTGAAATCAATGTCAGCAGACAGCGGTCGCTATATCCTAGTGGAGCGTTAACTTGTATCTAATCATCGGAGTGTCTGTCGTTGGCGATGACCAAATCAATGGGAGATGGTAGTTGTTCCGAGCGGTTTATAGTGGGTGCAACGACATGTTGAGTCCAAGTGCTCTGTTGAACGACCTCAATCAGCGCCGCTGAAAATAGTCCGCTTGATTTGACGCACTGGAGCTCCATTCAGGGCCTTTCGAGCGTTGAAGTCGCCTACCAGTAGATGTGTGAAGTAGTAGCTGAAGGTGAGCTGCTCAAGGGTTTCCACAGATTTACGGACCCACGGATTGATACACAGGATCAACTCTTTTGCCAAAGTTTTTCGGGCTGGTTTTGGTCCTGTTGCTAGCGGCTGTCCTTCACCTGAAAAATACAAATGAAAAAAGGATGTAGCTTTGCTCCTTAGGCTTTCAGCGCGGGACAGTATGCTTTTCAGCTCGAGGATTCGCATAAATAAGTGTCTAATAGCGCTTTGAACTTGCTTCTAGAGGGAGCGTGCACAACCTTCAAAGGATAGTCATTCCATGCGGTTACCTTCTGAAATGAGAACAAATTCTGCCTGATGAATTTGTGCGCTCCGAGCTTGAAAATCTTCTTACTATGTCCCCGCCGTGCGTTTGCTGGGTCAACGGTGAAAAAGCTGCTGGCCAAGCTTTGTTCAAGCAGGGCATAAGTAGGGATTGGTTCCCCTTCGAGGCGACGATCCCCCAAGGGAAAGGGGGCAAGCACCGCGAGAATCGTTTCGTAGTCCACGGATTTGAGATTGACAACCATTTTCTTAGTGGTTCGCTGGACAATTAAGACTGGGGTAACGACTTTAGTGCGCCCCGAGTAGAAAACTTGATTGGCGTACACAAGCAGGGATCTGACGTAGGCCCCGTAGAGTATATGGAAATCCATTCGAGGTGCGCCGAATCATCGGGAAAATGTCAAGTGCCTTTTGGGCCGATTTCTCATGGTGCAGTGAGGGGGACACGTTTGAGGGGACCCAGACACCCAAATCCGTTTTGGCGTCCATCCTCATGATGCTTCCTGGTCCTTCGTTACCATCCACGACAAAGGCGTTCGCTAAGCCTCCTCCAAATGACATATGGACGCACTTCGTCATCCATAGGAAGGTGCCGGTCCAACGACCACTGTCCTGGAGCGCCTGCATCCATTTGAAGGATACTGTCATCAGGACTCCAGAATTTTAAGTCGTTCGCAAACATTAGACGTGGACTTGCAAGAACAGCTGAAAAGTCATTGAAGTATAGCAGAAATAGCAGTGGTCCCAAGACGGATTCTTAGGGAACTCCAATAAAGACCGGCGCTGGGGAGAGTAGGAAGAAACTACCTTCACGTTGAACGATCTTTCTGATAGGTACGCCTTGATCCAGTGTAAAATTCTCCCTTAGATCCCGTAAGACTCGGGTTTGTGGAGCAGCGGGACGCATGGGACCCCATTAGCTGCTTTTGAGTAGTCGAAAAATATCGCATCCGACATGAGTCCTTCGTCCCTGGTTTGGGTTAAGCTGCCCATAAACACGAGCATGTTTGTCACGCGAGAACGGTTTGGAAAAATCCGTGTTGTGCTGAGCATATCAAATTTTTGGAAACAAGGTGACCTGGGGTAGCCTGCTTCAGAGTGAGCTTCATCACCTTGCATGACACGCTAGTGAGGCCTATAGGCCTGTAGCTTCCAGGTGAGAGCTGGTTCCCAGTTTTTGTGGATTGGTGTGACCATGGATTTCTACCAAGCACCGGGATGGCGGCCTTCGTCAAACGACTGACGAAACATCGGGTATAAATGATTTGCCAGCGTAGACGACGTTTCCCCCAGAGACTATAGATGGACCTCATCGGGCACCAACGCGCGGAATGGGTTGAACTTTTGCAAGAGTTGACGAATGTCCCCCACCGCGGAGATAGTAAGTGGCAGTTCGTAATTACGTCTTGACAAGACTGGATGTAACGAGGACGCTCTGGCAGATTATAGACCTGCATAATGTTCTCTGTAGGCCTCGGATACCACCAGTGGATCACTCGTGGGTTCCTTGTTCCTGTCCCTCAAGGAGAACGCGGATGGCTTGTCTCTGAGGCGATTTCTCATGTATTTGAACAGGCCGTTTTCGTTTTCTCGAGCGAGGTACAGAATGGTGGCTTGTTTTTGTATGTTCAATTGGCGGCTTTCTGATTTGAAGCGGTTCCGCGCTTTGCGAAACGACCCCCTGGTGATCCATAATAGGAATGACCGTTTGCACCAATTTGTGTTATCTGTGCCATCTCAGGTAGGTAGAAGGCGAACTAGTGAGAAAACTTTCAGTGATGTCAACAGAACTAACTTTCTTCTGCAGGGGCACATGGTAGATATGGTGAAATGTTTCCATGCCCAACTGGAATTTTACAGTAGGGTGATCAGCATCATAGGCTGCTGTGATGGTCCCCAAGAAGTAAAGCTGGCAGCCAATGGCAGAGCTCTGAGACAGGTATACGTACTGCTAGTCGTCTATTACATTTTAAGCTGGGAGGAACCTGGTTATCCGGTCTTTGATTAGAGGTTCAACGGTTCGAAATAAAGGAATGATATGATGGATCCCTCTATACTTAAAAGCAGTTTTCCTGGACCTCAACTGGAAATAAGGGTGGACAGCAGATTGGTTCTACTGGGTAGGGGCGTTTCCAGATTTGGTCGAGTGATTAAATAGACTTAGGACAAGGATTCTGACATATTGATCGTCGTGCCTCAGATTACCTGATGGTAAGCCGTCGCCCTCGGCACGACGGAGTTCTTGAGGGACTGAAGAAGTGCTGATATATCAGCTGGAGTAATAGTCCAGTTGCTAGCATGGGGTAACCACTTTTTGTGTAGGTGTGCGACGGTGATTGTGGGCGTGAGTTTTGGAGGAAAAAGGAGCGGTTGGCAAAATAAGTGCCCGTGTGGCCAGCTATCCTGATAGGATCAGTGATAAGTCTACCATCGATGGCAGAGAGACGAGTTACTGAGTGACCGTTTGGGGTACAGCGCTCACAAAATGGGCGGCTCAGTAATTTACACTGAGATGGTACCCCGAGAGTTCACGACATTCGATGAACACCCGAGAGGATTCTCGGCAGGTGAGATCTTGTCGATGAGGAATATTAATAGGAAATACCGAAATTCCCGTTGCTCCCTGCCGGCTCGGTATATTTCAGCATTCAAGATGTTTAGTAACTTATCATCGCGACAGACACCAGGGCGAAAAATTTAAAAGAGCAAAGCACGTCTAAGACAGGTCAGTAGGTCTTGGTAGATACCACAAATGTGTTAGGTGTTGTTGACTGGAAGGAGCCACTCCAGTCCCGGGAGGCCAGCAAAGATTAAGAAGCTGGTAAAATATCTGGGGACAAGAGGTAAAAGAGAGAACCTGGATGAGCAGTGGCGCCACAACTGACATCATTGCGCGAAACAACACGGTGATCATTTAGTAAGAAGGATTGACCAACTGTGTTGTAGCCAGATGACCCCCATTTGACAACAGGATAGACAAGCCATGGATGGAGCTGCGTAAAAGCTTGGGCCAACCCCCTCCACCAAGTTGGGCAAGCAGCTGGGCATAAAGATAAAGGCCCAAGGTGGGAAACCAGAAAGCATCCTTTGGGCTGTAGTCACCCAGCACATATTTAGACGAACTGGGGGGCATGTGCAGTGGGCATAATCCGGGAAAAGTCAGCAATAGAGGCGATAGAGAGTGTGAGTGGTAGATGGATTCAACCCATTGGTGCAAGCAGTTTGGTCTGTTCTGAAGAAATCCAGAGGGCCCCTAGAATCCCTTCTAGGGGCCGCAAAAAATTCTGATTTAGAATAGGTGCCACAGCCTCCATCCCTTGAGTTTTCCCGTCGGAGCGGTTCATATTGTAACCAGGGATTGAATTAGACGTGACTGGAGTTTCAATTTGGAGCCTTGCTTCAGTTGAACAAATCAGACTTGGTCATGCAATCGCGATGATAGCCCGAAGATTTTGGTCTTTTGGAAGCAGGGAGTGAGCGTAAAACAACATTACTAACAGGTTCATTGGCGAGTACACTGTGCCAGTTTGAAGTTCACTAGCCTCGATTACGGTGGAGTTCGGTACTAGGGGGAAATGGGTGAAAGAGGTACATGTACGTGAATAAGAGTTGACCGGATGCATGCTCGGAGTAGGCCGAAGTGTATTCAGCACTGGTGATAGAGGGTGAATAGTGGATGAAGTTTGCCTGAAGCCACGGCAGAAGTTGGAGTATGAAGTTCATTATGGGAAAGCAGACGTGCAGTTGAGAGAGGTTTTGACGCGCAGTCATTCGCATCGTCAGGAGATGTGCAGAAAAAGGCGGTGTATGGATGTGAGTGGCAGCCGAAACAAGTCTACAGATGCGGCAGAATTGGGTGAGCAGGATGCTGGAAGCGCATAAATGTCTATGCCAGCCGATGGTGTATGGGGATTTGAGATTTCACCAAACACGTGATGCATGTGAGTTGTACTTGGAGAGGCCGGAAAAAAGTCTTATGAGGAACAAAGGACAGATTCTCGGAGGTGCAGTTGCAAATTAACCACGCATGCAGGCCTCGACAACAAATACTTGAGCTCGAAAGCGTATTTTGGTAAGGATGGAACGTGGAGAGTCTGCAGTTTGGGAAGTTTGTGACGAGAACCAATGCTGTTGGCGACTGGCGTGACCATTACTCTTGTTATAGGTCGGTCACTTCTGGGCCTTAAGGGAGTGCTGCCGGGATGGTGGGAACATCTACAGATTTATTGGAAGGTAAATCAAAAAGTCTATTGCAGGAGCACTAGAGGGCTCATGGTCTTTTAAGGCTGC